ATGTTGGGGATGCCTGGCTTACAGGTTAGTGGTTTCCACATTAAGGAACATTTGAACCACTTCCCTCACTTTCCTCTAATCATTTGTTGAAGCTGCTATCACATATACCGTATTTTTCGCTCTATAACTCGCAGATTTTTTCTCCTAAAAAGGAAGGGGAAATGTCTGTGCGTGTTATAGAGCGAATGTGTGGTCCCTGGAGCCAAAAAATCAAGCAAAAGTCAAACCGCGAGTCACGGAGAAGGGAAACCTGAAAAGAGGAAGTGGCAGCTTTCCTGCATTCTGCCTCAGGGTCTTACTGCCCACCCTCCTCTGTTTCGTTGCTGTGATTGCTGAAACGGAACAAAGAGCAGGGAAAGCCCCTCCCCTCCAGGCAAGCAGAGTGTCGCTCTTTCTAATTCCTCTCTGTGCTCCGGTGCTGCTGGGGGAGAGGGAGAGAGAGTGGGGGAGGGAGAGGGAGAGGGGGGGAGGGAGGGAGGGAGGGAGAGAGAGAGAGAGAGAGATGGCTGGCTTGGGGGGGAACTTTTGCCTTTCTTTCCTCCCACCCCAAATCCCTCTCCAGCATTCTTAGCCAGCTGCTTCTCTGCACACCCCTCTCATGTCCCTTCTTTGTTTTTCCTTCGCTCCCCACTTAAAATGTGGTTACAAAGCATAGATCAACATGGATCCTCAGGATCTTTGCATTGGGTCACCCCAAATTCACCATCAGATCACATAGCATGTCCATGGCTACAGCCTGCACCAAAAAAATCACGCACCCACTGTTGCCTGGGGCTGCAATGGTGCAAAAACATGGTTAAAAAGCATGGATCCACATGGATCCTCAGGATCTTTGCATTGGGTCACCCCAAATTCACCATCAGATCACATAGCATGTCCATGGCTACAGCCTGCACCAAAAAAAGCACGCACCCACTGTTGCCTGGGGCTGCAATGGTGCAAAAATGTGGTTACAAAGCATGGATCCACAGGGATTCTCAGGATCTTTGCATTGGGTCACCCCAAATTCACCATCAGATCACATGTCTGTGGCCACAGCATGAAGCACAAAAATGATACATCCACTGTTTCATTCAGAATGTTTTTTCCCTTGTTTTCCTCCTCTAAAAACGATGTGCGTGTTATGGTCAGGTGCGTGTTATAGAGCGAAAAATACGGTATATTGCATTACACCAGAATGAACAATGACTACCTCACAGGACTGTTGAGAGTAGATGTTAAATTAGCCACTCTCCTAGAACAAGTAATTTATTCTAGACAAGTAGCTAACCAGATCTATGGGCCATCTGTATATATACCAGCTAAGAAAAGATAACAATTCTCAGGAAACGGTTTCTAGACCACAAAAGCTTACATTATAATTAATTTGTTTTATGATGTAAAAAAAAGGGGGTGCGGCAACCGACTAATATAGTGACCCCTCTAGAACTTTTTACCATGACACATGTACACACAGATGGGTAGACTCACTGCTAAACTTTGAAGTAATCTGAAAGGCTAGTGGAGAAGATGAATGAAGACAAAGCCCAAAGAATGAATAAAAAATGAGCGCCATTAGAGCAGCATTTCTCCAACTTGGGTCTCCAGCTGTTGTTGAACGACAACTCCTATCATCCCTGACCACTGGGTCCTGCTAGCTGGGGATGATGGGAGTTGTGATCCATCAACATCTTGAGGCCCAAATTTGAGAAACACTGCACTAGGGTTGGTCTTAGACCTGAAAAAGAGGAGTCCCCACAGCAGTGTCACAATGTGGCTTTCAATATAGTCACTATCTTAGTTCCTCAACCACAAAATGGAAAGATTTTTCTAATGTAGGTAGTTCCTTAAGCACACTAGAGAATGTGAGGACTCTTTAGAGTGTAACGTGGGGTGGAATTCTATGCAGTGCTAAATGGAGTATGTGTCCAGGGAACAGACACACTTGTGCAACATGACTTTCTTCTCTATCCTCCCCCTGTGCACCTCCTAAAGCTGTTCTGAGGGTTCTACCAACCCTCCAGAGCAGGCTTAGGGGGCATAAGGGGAGGAGAGGGGAGGACTGGACCTTGTTCCACAAACACAACAATTTAGCCCAAGATAATTATCACTTAATCCTTAATATATTATATGGAAGAGAAGTCAGTAGGATTTGATTGCCATACAGTTGCTTTATAACAGGGCGTGAAAAGCATATGAGCTTTCAACCGGAATAAGCAAAGGCTCTCATAGGGGTTCCGGCAATAAGCCCAGCTCCAGTGGGTGGAAAGTGGTATGATGAGAGTTCTTAAACTATTTTGCCATGTTTAGTATTAGTCTCTAGCTGTCATCTGCATGTATAAATATTCCACCCATCTGGCTCTTGAAAGAAAGCAGAGCCCCAGAGGAAGATTACCTGGCTACGCTATATCCTCACATATTCCCTATATTTTGCCAAACTGTGCTTCTAAGCACAGTACTCATTTCTACTATTTACACAGCTTTATAAAGGGAAAGGAAATCTGACAGCTCAACTACTTCCATTAGGGCTCTTCTGAGGAGTGAAATCTTACCTTCACTCTTAGGGACTGACAACGCCTTCAACAGCACAAGCACTGCAGCACTGTCTGCAGACTAAGGGAAAATATGCTAGGTCACATTTTTAAACATCATTATAACAGTAGTAATTGAAGAGAGTCTTTTCAACTTCTTTTTCAACCTGAGAACTCAAAACACATGTGAGGAAAATGTGTGTCTACTAGGTCATGGTAATAAGCAGTGCTTTTTTCTGGGGAGACGCAGGGGTATGCATACCCCTAAACATTTTGTGAATCTAAGTTTGGCCTCATTGAGGGGTAGTATTTCAATATGAGTAGAAAAATGAGTACCCCTAAGCATTTTTTTAGAGAAAAAGCACTGGTAATAAGAAACTTGTTCTCTCCATGTTCCAATATAGATACCTGCTTTAACAAAACACATGTTTGCAGTGATTCCTCAATAAGCTGAAGAGATTCAATTCTTGTTTGTGAGGAAATCACATACTCTAACTAGTACATCATAAGATGGACAATCATCACACTGAAGTAACTAAGCAACTTGCTGTTTTCTACAACAAAATCTGAATCCTAAACCCAAAATCTGTGTTTTAAAAATTATCCCCTTTTATAGAATTATGAAACGATCTGTATTTTAAACTACAAGCACCAGAAATGTGTATTCTTATCAAATTACTTAAACGCAAGACTGCATAATGAATCCAAAACTTAACAACCAAGTCACAGCTTTTGTGGCTCCCCCCCCTTATAGCTAAGAAATGTCTCATGAAATCTGGGGGTGAGAAGGCTAAGCAAAATTTACACTGATCAGGAGTTGCGCTTCTGTGCCATATATAACTTTATGCCCCTCCCCAACTACTAAAAGCAGAACACAACAAATATATGCAAACCTGCTTGTGTTGCATAATGCGCGCACACACACAGAGGCTACAGAATTCATAGTTGCTTGGTGCAGAATCTGGAATATTTTTAGCATGAAACACAGAGCCAAAATCATAACATGCGCCATAAATAACTATAGCATCACTGTTCTGTTAAAAAAAAATATTTTGCAGACTTGAAAAAAATATAATAAATTACCTTTTGCATTTCAATGGGCAATAGTACAGCCCTCTGAAAACAGCATCTCACACCCACTTCCACTATTCAAAGTATCACAAGAAGCGGCACATTTACATAACCCTTTTTTTGTTTGGGTTCATTTCCCTTTCCCACACCTTTTTTTTCTTCTAAAAGAGACAGCAATAGCTGTGTGTGTAGGAAGGCAATCACTGAGGCAGACTGCTTCATAAATATTGCACATCTGAAAGTATATACCTAGCAAAGTGGATGATGCAGCAGGGTGGGGCGCTTTATAAATAGACTCATTTATTAATGGTTCTCTGTGAATGATAGCAGAATGCTTTGCAGGAGGAGGAGAATGTGTGCTTATAACCATTATTAATAAATCCTGGCAGACAGCAAGCTTTTTCGCCCACCACCATCCCTCCAGGGGAAGATACAGACATCCAGCTACGTCATCACCGGATTGGGTTGGCATGAACAATGAACACAGAGGAATCAAATCCCAAACATTTGGCTGCCTTCTACACACACACACACACACAACACAACTAAAACCTTTCTCTCCGTTTCAGATTGCGGTGCTAAATAAATAAGTTCTGCCAAAATCAAAGAGTCTTCTTCCCTCCCACAAGGAAACGCGTAAAGACTTGCCTGTCAGATTTAGCGCCCTGTATATACTAAAAGCTCAGCACATTGGGGTGTTTAAAATAAACTGAAGAAAAGAGCATGGTTTGGCTTAGGAATAACAGAATCAGAGTTGGAAGGGCCTCTGAGGGCCACCTAGTCTAACCCCCTGCAATGCAGGAATCTTCAGCCCAACCTGGGGCTCGAACCAACGACTCAGAGAGCAAGAGCCTCTTTGCACTAGGAACTGACTTACTTTTAAGGCCTCCCATTTCACACCCACCCACATACATACATATACCAGTAAGGAAAAGTGGGGGTGGAATTAACTCGCCAACACCAGGAACTGAAGGCATTTAAGTGTCTCTCAGCTACCCTGGTTCCTTTCCCCCTCTGCTGCCGCCTTTCCCCCCACACTCCCAAGCCCCCCTGCAGGATTTCCGACTGTAAGCTCCTAGGGGCAGATCCGTGCACGGAAAACATCCGATTCCCAGAGCCAGTTTGCCACCGTCTCTGCCCCACCCCCAGCAGCTCCGTGTTTTAAAATGCCAGCTGCTGGCGGCGGCGGGGGGGGGGAGGGGGGGTCCGGGTCCGCCGGATCTTTTGAGGAGGATTACAACACAGAGAGAGACGCCTCATCCTCGACGACACGCAGGCCGGGCGCCTCCTCGCCCTTCCTCCCCACTGGCTTCCAGGCCCAAGATCCAGGCGGCGGCCTCCTCCGCCTGGGCCTTTCTCTCTCCCTCCACCCAGGCGCACCCCAAGGCCTCCCCGGCCACCCTCGGGGCCTCCACTTACCCTACGGGAGAGGGGGCTCTGAGTGGGCGCTCCGAAGCGGCGCAGGGAGGAGGCCTGGGCCAGACCGGGCCGAGCCGGCGAAAGCGGCCTCTCTCGCCTCAGTTCATTCAGACGGGGCGAGACGATGGCGGCGGCGGCGACTGCGGCGAAGGCAGCCGCGGCCGCTGTTTGTGCTGCTGCTGCTGCTGCTCCTCCTGGCTGGCCCTAGCGGGGAGCCGAGCGCTCATCTCGCCCGGCCTCCCCGTCGCCCACCCCTCCCCTCCCGCGCCGCACGCGGGTCTCCCCTCTTCCCCTCGCGGCAACGGCGCCTCACGCGCTTCCCCGTCTTTCCGCACCCCACCAGCACCCGCCTCAACTCCGCTTCAATTCCCTCAGGCGGGCGGGCGGGCAACCCAAGCAAGCGAGCAAAGGGTCGCGCACGCGCAAAGAGAACCACCCAGCGCGCGAGGGAGAGGGGAGGAGGACGACGTAAGCGCGGAGCGGAGAAGACGCCGAAAGCGCGAGCTCGCCTCGCCACACCGCGCGTGCGCGGGGTGAGTCGGCTGTATAACAAGGCAGGGGAGGCACGCCCGCGAGAGAGAGAGAGAGACGAGGGGGAAAAGGAACTCTCCCGCTGGCCTGCGTACGTGCCGTGCGTGAGTGCACGCGCAGTTGTCTCTCCCCCCTCCCCTACTAAACAAGCACGCACGCCGGCTCGAGCTTGCGCTCCCTGAGCGGCCAATGGGCGCGCGATTTCTAGCCTTTTGCCCCGCCTCTCCCCTGCGTCCGTCCAACCCCAAGCCCGCGTCTCCTTGAGTAGCAGCTTTCGACGGTCGTTGGTCGTTTTTCCCCTTTCGTATCGCCGGCTGTGGCGCAGCGCGCGGCGAGAGCCCGGATGTTGGGGCTGGCTGAGGAGGGAGGCGAGGCGGAGTTGTTTGCTGAGGCCGGGTGGTTATTACATCACCCTCGTCCCTCAGCGGGCCTTCGTCTTCTCTCAGGGCTGAGGGAAGCTTTGGAAATAGAGAGAGAAAGCGGCCCGGCGGGCGCAGCCCACCATGCGCACCACACTCTTCTGTTATTAATAGCATTAATATTTGTATTAGCATTTACTGGTGCTGGTGAAATAAATTTATGGCGGGGGTGGAGGGGAATAGCAAATGAAACATTCGCTGCTGTTTACATAATACACGCCGATTTCCCGCCCACCCTGGATTGGGGGTACAGCGCGTTCGTCGTGTTTTCTTCCCTAAACGGACACGCTTGCACACAAAAGTCCCCGATAAAACTAGCCTCTTCCACAGCTTCTGGTAGAGGAAAAAACAGGAATATTTGTGCCTGGGGTGCGGGTGGAGATTTAAAACACGGCAGACCTCCCTCAGAACAAGTAGCCCTACAGGGCAGGTCAGAAATACAAAAGGCTGAGGAAAAGGTAAAGTGATTTAGGAGAAAAAGCAGCAGGAGCAGAACCACTGCTCAGGAAGGTAGAATAAATAATAGTAATGGTAATAATACAGGCATATACAGTACATGTGAAAGTATCAGGAGACCCCACTAACTACAAGAGAATTTTATTTTATTTTTTGCCTTTGTTGTTGTTTAGTCGTTTAGTCGTGTCCGACTCTTCGTGACCCCCTGGACCAGAACACGCCAGGCACTCCTGTCTTCCACTGCCTCCCGCAGTTTGGTCAGGCTCATGTTTGTAGCTTTGAGAACACTATCCAACCATCTCGTCCTCTGTCGTCCCCTTCTCCTTGTGCCCTCCATCTTTCCCAACATCAGGGTCTTTTCCAGGGAGTCTTCTCTTCTCATGAGGTGGCCAAAGTACTGGAGCCTCAGCTTCAGGATCTGTCTTTCCAGTGAGCACTCAGGGCTGATTTCCTTCAGAATGGATGCGTTTGATCTTCTTGCAGTCCATGGGACTCTCAAGAGTCTCCTCCAGCACCATAATTCAAAAGCATCAATTCTTCGGCGATCAGCCTTCTTTATGGTCCAGCTCTCACTTCCATACATCACTACTGGGAAAACCATGGCTTTAACTATACGGACCTTTGTTGGTAAGGTGATGTCTCTACTTTTTAAGGTGTTGTCTAGATTTGCCATCGCCTTTCTCCCAAGGAGCAGGCGTCTTTTAATTTCGTGGCTGCTGTCACCATCTGCAGTGATCATGGAGCCCAAGAAAATAAAATCTCTCACTGCCTCCATTTCTTCCCCTTCTATTTGCCAGGAGGTGATGGGACCAGTGGCCATGATCTTCGTTTTTTTGATGTTGAGCTTCAGACCATATTTTGCGCTCTCCTCTTTCACCCTCATTAAAAGGTTCTTTAATTGCTCCTCACTTTCTGCCATCAAGGTTGTGTCATCTGCATATCTGAGGTTGTTGATATTTCTTCCGGCGATCTTAATTCCGGCTTGGGATTCATCCAGCCCAGCCTTTCGCATGATGAATTCTGCATATAAGTTAAATAAGCAGGGGGACAATATACAGCCTTGTCGTACTCCTTTCCCAATTTTGAACCAATCAGTTGTTCCATATCCAGTTCTAACTGTAGCTTCTTGTCCCACATAGAGATTTCTCAGGAGACAGATGAGGTGATCAGGCACTCCCATTTCTTTAAGAACTTGCCATAGTTTGCTGTGGTCGACACAGTCAAAGGCTTTTGCATAGTCAATGAAGCAGAAGTAGATGTCTTTCTGGAACTCTCTAGCTTTCTCCATAATCCAGCGCATGTTTGCAATTTGGTCTCTGGTTCCTCTGCCTCTTCTAAATCCAGCTTGCACTTCTGGGAGTTCTCGGTCCACATACTGCTTAAGCCTGCCTTGTAGAATTTTAAGCATAACCTTGCTAGCGTGTGAAATAAGTGCAATTGTGCGGTAGTTGGTGCCTTAGCGTAGAACCAATGTACCTCAAATCCAGAGGACCACAAGTGGAGTTTGTTTATCTAAAAGATTTACCCCTCACTTTTCCTATAAATAGTAAAAGGGGCGACTAAAGTCATCACTTGAAACAGTTAAAATTGCTAATTACCGAAGTCAGCACAGCATAAAACAACATTCAGAAAGCATCTGCAGGAGACAGAGTGATGCCTACAAATAAGCAGCTCATCTTGAGCCAGCTATTAAATCCAGATGTTAGAAGCCAAAAGCCTTTGAGGGGGGCATTTTGTCATCCACCAAAATTTATAGGGGGAACCGAGACAAACTTCCCTCAGGAGGGATTTTCGGAGCTGTGTACACAACTATAGACAAGGTCTATCTTTTGTTTCAGCCAATAAAGCCCAAATCTTAATGGCTACCAACCCTAATAGCAGGGCCGGCCCAAGACATTTCGGCGCCCGAGGTGAATGAACCACAAAATGGCATCCTTCCTTGCTGCCAGGGAACAAAGGGTGAGTGGTGAATTTGCATTGGGATTTGCTGCACTTCTGGATTCTGCTACCTGAGGTGGTCGCTTCACCTTGCCTCTTGGGTGGGCCGGCCCTGCCTGATGCCTCTCTTCTACCTCCACTGGCAGAGGCTGTATGCTTTTGAATAGCAGGTGCTGGAAACTGCAAGAGGAGCGAGTTGCTGCTGCACTCAGGTCCTGCTTGCAGGCTTCCGATAGGCATCTGGTTGGCTGCTGTAAGAACAGCAGCCTTTGGTTTACAGTGGTATCACAGTACTTTGAATGTTTGGTGTGAACGTGGCCTGAGTGAGTCCCTAATTTGGAGTAAGATTTGAATCGTGAACTTCCAAGCTCTGGATGTATGTCAACAGAGAACGTGAATGAGCTCTTCCACATTTCCTCCAGAGGGAAAGGAGAATGTTTCAACCACAGTCCAAAATTATTGGCAGGATTAGTTATACTAGTATTGCCAAAACATAAGCAAAACACAGATCTCCTCTGGTATCTGTGTGTGGATGCATATGAAAGAGATTAAGCACTGTTCAATAATGTTTCCTTCCCATTAAAACAGCCATGTATGGCTCTCCAGTAGTCCCCAAGCGCAGAAAATATTATGGATGTTCCTTTTCTGAACTTGCCTGCTCTGGAGAACTCTTCAAAAGAGGGGGACAGAGTTTTACAACTCTGCTATCTTTTAAAAGATTGGTGGCTGTGGGGCCTATAAGCTCCATGCTGCTGTTGCAATGCCAGCTGTGTTGCAGTCAGCAGCAGAACTAGTCGCTCAGACACCTGGAGCGATGCACATGCCAGGGGGCGGGGCGATCCACCTGGGGGTTCAATCAGCATGGTGGCGATCCACCCGAGGGGCGATTGGTGCAGTGGCGATCTGCCCAGAGAGGATTTTGTCACCCCACCTCTAGGATGACACCCGGGGCGCACCCCCCTTCCTACGCCCCTGGTTGCAGTCATGACAGATACTTCTGCAAACGTCTCAGATGCATTGGCTAAAATAGGGTGAAATAATTGAGCAGAATGTGGGCAACTGCAATGGAGGAGGCACACTGACATTGTACCCCAAGACTATGGAACCTCCAGCCTGTGGATCAGCCAGTGAATTAGCCCACAAGGTCATTGCCCCCCACCACCACTTCCACTTGTCACTCACCTGATGTCATGGGGTGGTATAAGCTGATCAGCAAGTGGTCAGGGGTAAGTCCTGCTGGGTGCTCCCATACCCCCACCCTGTGTGTCTGCTTTGACAGGTGGTGGGATTGTCCACCTATCAGTCATAGAATCATAGAATTGTAGAGTTGGAAGGGACACCACAGGTCATCTTGTCCAACCCACTACAATACAGGAATCTCAACTGGATCACAAAATCATTGAATTGTAGAGTTTTAAGGGGCCAAATTATATCACTTTGTATCATCCAGACGTCAGGTGATTGATAGGTAGGTGGGGCCCCAAACCTGTCAAAATTGGCTCACAGTGTGGGAAGAGATAAATATCTGCCCCATTGACTTTCTGCCATATCCTAAACATCAGGAGTGGGGAACCTCATGCTCTAGAGATCAATACAGCTACCCAGACCTCTCTATCTGGCCCTTGGTCCTTTCCTGGGTCAAGCCTTCTCTGCAAGGCCAGTTCCCAGGCTACACCTCACAACAGCTCTGCTCCAAACCCTTTGCGAGTCCTTTGGTGTATAAACAATTGACGCCTGAATTCTGAAAATGCCTCTTGCTTGCGTGGATGTGTGTATTGCTGGAATGTAGACTTCTGTGCAAAACTAATAGTCACATCTGTTGCTGTGCCCCTCTGGCTATGACAAACCTAGACGGCATCTTAAAAAGCAGAGACATCACCTTGCCAACAAAGGTCCGTATAGTTAAAGCTATGGTTTTCCCAGTAGTGACATATGGAAGTGAGAGCTAGACCATAAAGAAGGCTGAACGCCGAAAAACTGATGCTTTTGAATTATGGTGCTGGAGGAGACTCTTGAGAGTCCCATGGACTGCAAGAAGATCAAACCTATCCATTCTTAAGGAAAACAGCCCTGAGTGTTCACTGGAAGGACAGATCCTGAAGCTGAGGCT